TCACACACACACTCACACACACACTCACTCACACACACTAACACACACACTCACACACACACTCACACACACACCCACACACAGACACACTCACACACACACAAACTCACACACTCTCACACACACACTCACACACACTCACCCACTCAGACACATACTCACACACACACACACACACACTCACACACACACACTCACACACACTCTCACACACACACACACTCACACACACACACACACACACACACACACACACACACCTTCAAGCCATGTTCAAGCTGACAATTCTCAGCCTTCTCCAAGTTCAGTGTTGGGATGTAGTGGAGATTGGCGGCACTGGGCTTCACACATATGCATTTAAACCTCCTACCACCAAAGTCCATCCGTCCAAGGACAGGGGTACACATCCCTTAGGATGGCCCCAGGAAAGAGGTCCGTGCTGTCCCTAAGGGGTTTCCTGGCCACATGCAGTGGATATTGGGAGAAGACACCTCCCTAAGCTGAGTGACACAGCTAGAAGTCAGAGAAGGGGCCACTAAGACCCAGAAGTCCACACAGATCAAAGCTCAACCCTAGCTGGGAGTGGTAGGGCACACCTTGATCCCGGCACTCAGGAGGCAGAGGCAGGGGGAGCTCTGTGAGATTCAGGCCAGCCTGGTCTACATAGCGAGTTCTAGGCCAGCCAGGACTACATAGTAAGACTGTATCAAAACAACTAAAATCAAAACTCCAAAACAAACAAAAAGATGCAAAGGTCAGCCCTAGGGGAGATAGCTCATTGGTTAAGTGCACTGGCTGGTCTTGCAGAGGACCCAGATTCTGTTCCCAGCACCCATATTGTGGCTAGCAACCATCCTTGACTAAAGTTCCAGGGGACGTGACACCCTCTACTGACCCCTCGGGCACTGCATGCATTGGTTACATATACACATGCAGGCAAGCACTCATACACATACACAATAAAATAATAAAAATTTACAAACTCAGTTCCAACACAGAGGTGGAAGGACTCACCATCCAGTGCACTCCAGACGATGATGGAACGGTCTTTCATGCCCGCAAATACACACTTGTCATCCTTTGAGAAACAGGCGCACTGCACTCCTCTGCAGTAGGAACTCTGTTGAAAACAGACCACGTGATGAGCTTTGAATGGGAACTGACCCTACAGGCTCATGTGGTGCATGTAGTACGTGTGCATATGTACATGTGTGCGTGTGTGAGCACACGTCACAGCCCTTGTGTGGAGGTCAGAAGACAACTTGTGGGAGTCAGTTCTCTCCTTCCACCATGTGGATCCCAGGGATTGAACTCAGGTCTTCAAGGTTGGTGGCAAGCGCCTTTGCCCAACGAGCATCTCACCTGCACGGGCTCATGTGCTTTAATGCCTGTTCCCAAGCTGGTGGTGCTTATTTTTAAGGTTGTAGAACCTTTAAGAGGTGAGGCATCCCTGTAGGAAGTACGCCACTGGGGGACGGTCTTCAGGTTTTATACCCTGGCCCTGCTTCCTGTTTACTTTCCACTTCTTCCCACAATATGTGAGGTGAAGAATAACAGCTGCACACACCTGGAGTGGCCTGCCTTCCCTCCATATCAGACTGTGTTGCCATGGAGACACCTATGCTGTCTCCTCTCCATATCAGACTTTGTCACCTGCACCCTGCCTGTCTCTCCTCCATTATCAGACTGTGTCACCTTTGAGCTTCCTGTGCCCTACCTCTCCTCCACTATATCCCCTCCAACTGTGAGCCCCATCAAACCCTTCCCTAAGTTGTTTCTGGTCAGGTGTTCTGGCTACAGCAAAGAGGAAACTGACTAATGGACCACATCACCTGTTTCCAAACTGAGAGACACCCAGACTGACCCCCAGGGAGCCAGGCTTAGAAGAACCCCACCTGGGACAGATCAGAAGAACAGCTAGAGACGGAGAAAAAGACTTTCCAGGGACCAGGATCTGTCTTTATAGAGCTTGAAAGATTTAGCAATTTTGCATTGGAAGGTGAAAATGACAGGATTCAGTTTCTCTTTGACTTCTGGTTTTGGGGTGTGTGTGTGTTCACGTGTCTGTGTTCATGTGTGGGGCCAGAGGATAACCTCATTAGGGATGCAGTCCATCTCATTTGACAATGGGTTTATCATTGCATAGCTCACCCATTAGGCTAGCCCAATTTCCCTTTGTTACTTTGAGAAAGGGTCTAACGATGTACCCCAGGCTGTCCTAGAACTCCCGATCCTCTTGTCTCCTGAGTGCTGGGGTGACAGTACTGACCCATTTTGCCTGGCTTGATTGCTGAGTTTTCTGACACTCCTTAAACTGCTCATGAGGTGCCTACCTTCCCCTACAGTGCCTGTCCTAGTCAGTGATACATGGTGTGCATTTAATTAGTCAACTGCTTAGTAGTCTCAAGTCAAGACCAAGTGTGGCGGCTGAGGACATGGCTCAGTCAGCTGCTGCGGAGGACCTGAGTCTGATACCCCAACACCATGTAAAAACCGAGGCATGGTGGTCCACACTGCAATCCCAGCACTGGGGAGGTGGAGACAGGAGGGTCCTTAGAGCTTGCTGGCTGGCCAGCCTGGCCTAATAGGTAAGTCCCAGTGAAGAGACCCTGTCTCAAAAAACAAGGCAGGGGCTGAAGTGATGGTTCAGTGGTTAAGAACACTGGCCACTCTTCCAGAGGACTGAGGTTCCTTTCCAGGAACCAAATGGCAGCCAACAATCTTCCTTAAGTTCCAGGGGATCCGATGCCTACTCTGACCTCCTCTGGCATTGTATACATGTGGGGCACTTACATAGACACTTGTAAAACACTCATACACATAAAATTAAACTAAAATTTAAAAAAAATGGCAGACAGCTCCTGAGGAATGACACCCCAAGGCACTCACCGCGTAGCTCATCTCAAACTTGCACATGCAGGCCTGTAGGTCCCAGAGGCACAGGACGTCCTGGGCGCTGCTCACAGCCAGCTGTTCAGCGTGGCTGACCTCCACACAGCCCACTCGGCTCTGGTGCATCTCCAGGGGGAACACTTTGGCGTTTGCACAGTGGTACAGGAAGAGGCCACCGTTGGTCATGCCATAGAGCACACGGTAGTCAGCTAGCACGGCCACACTGGCTATGGTCTCTGGCAGCTGGGTATAAAAGGTATAGGTGGGGCCCTCGATGGTGGGGCACAGGGCCCCAGGACAGATGTCCAGCACCAGGACGATGTTGTCGTAGGCGACGACCAACCGGTCCTCGCTCTTGCTCAGGGCCATGCAGTTAATGGCTCTGCGGGCCTCTGGCGGGGGAATGCACAGCACATCCTGCCTGGAATTCAGGGGGAACACAAGTACAGTCCCTGAAACCAGGCCGGTGAACAGGAGCTTGGCTTGCTCCGCCACCTCCAGACACCTGACCTCATTGGATGTGTCCAGGGAATCCTGCTCCTCACCTGTGCAGGGAGAAGACAGCAAGGGTGAGTCACAGGCCCACTCCCCTGGCTTTCTTAGTTTCGTTTTTTTTAAAAAAAAGTTATTTTTATTTAAGTGTTTGAGTGTATTGCCTACATGTATATAAGTGCACCCATGCCATGCAATGCTCAAGGAGGTCAGAAGAGGGGGTCGGATCCCCTGGAACTGGAGTTCCTGACAGTTGTTAGCCACCATGTGGGTGCTGGGAATTGAACCTGGGTGCTCTGCAAGAGCAGCCAGTGCTCTTAACCACAGGTTTTAAAATTACATTTATTCATTTGTGTATGCACGTGTGTGGAGGTTGGAGCTTGTAGGCTCAGTCCCCTCCTTCTACCATAGGGGTCCCAGGGATTGAACTCAGTCCACAGTCTTGGCGGCCAGCACCTCCACCTGCGGAGCCATCTCGCATCTGGCTTTCTTAGTTTTAATGATTTAAAGTTTCACAACCAATGAAGTTCAACTTCGATAGGGTAAATTTCCCTAATTACTCTCTGACACACACCCTCAAGCTGGAAATGGGATTTGGGCTCTCGCCCAGTAAAGCTGAGGAATGAACACCAGGACCTCGCATAGCACACAGTGAAAAGGGAACCCTGGCACCTGCAAAGCTCCACTGGTGCTACAGAAATGAGTGCACTGGGATTCTGTGTGGTTTGCAGCGCTGGGGCAGGCGCCCCGGCTCAGGCCTGCTCAGCAGGAGCAGGGCCGGCAACCTGGCTTACTCACACGTTCCTTGGTCACTAGAGACTGACACCAAGAGCTTGCATGTGCTCAGTAAGCACAGGGCCGGGATCCCTCGCCCCCTCCTGTTTAGTCTTCCCAGGCTTCTGAGCTCTTGCATCTTTGCCCTTACCCCAAACTTGTCCTTTACAGATTCTGGCTGCTATAGGGCGAGTGTGTGCTGCCCCACATGTCCAGCAGATTCAGGTGTTGAAACTCCATCTGATGGCTAAGTGGTTAAGAGCACTGGCTGTTCTTGAAGAGGACCTGGGTTTGGTTCCCAGTACCCTCATAGTGGCTAACAACCGTCTGTAACACCAGTTCCAGGGGCTCTGACACCCTCTTCTGGCCTCCATAGGCACCTGTAGGTACGTGGTGCTTACTACAAACAGGCATACACAAATACAGATAAATTTAAAAAAAATTTTTAATGTCAGTGTTTAAACTGCCTGGTGTGGGATGATTTGTCCTGATTGCCTACAGCCCCAAACCAAGACAGCTTCAGTTCTTACCACACAGACAACTCTTATAATCTCTTACAAACCTTCAGCCAAGTCCCAGATGGTCACTTTGTTTCTGTCCCCGATCTTGGGGAAGTAGACATAGCTTCCGTTGTGGGACACTGCTGTGAGGCCTGAGCGGTCTAGAAATGGAGCTGAAGGCCTTGGCTTCTGAATGGAGCTGAGATCCCAGACTTTGAAAAAAGATGATTTCCAGGAGGCAGATGCCACCAGAGTCCCACCTCGGACCAACAGATTGACAGGGGCCCCGACGCCCTCCAGGACCTCCAGTAGGGCCCCCTGTTCTGACAGACTCCATACCTGAAGGCAGACAAGAGATGGGCATATCTGACTTGGTAATGTACTTAAACCACTATTGACCACCTTGAATGGACAGGCTCTGCTTTGAGTATCCTCACATCTCCCCCTGGCCTCCTTAAGCCTTTCTCGTGTCTCAGCCTGTGGCCTACACAGCAGTTCTCAAAGTATGTTCTGGGGAACCCCTGGAGGGCACCCCACAGACCCTCTCAAGGAGTCTATAAGATCAAAACTATTTTTTTAAAACATGTATTAAGTGTATGTCTGCGCACATGTGCACACGTGTAGGTCAGAGAACAACTTGTAGGAGGCCTCCTCTCCTTCCGTCATGTGGGTCCTGGGGATCAAACTCAGGTCGTCAGACTCAGTGGCATTTTTGTAATAAGCTAAGATATTACTGTTTTTTCCTTGGTCTTGATCTCACAAGTGAGATCATACTTATACATACAGAATTATTTTCCATTAAAATATGTCATGTGAACATACTGTGTTGATAGGTTCATGGATTTTCATTTTAAGGTATTTTATTTTTAAAAAATATTTATTATTTTTATTTTTTGCAGATGAGTGTACTGCCTCCATATAAGTGCACTTGTGTCTTTGTGTCCACAGAGGTCAGAAGAAGGTGTCAGATCACCCCCTGAACTTGAGTTATGGTTGTCAGCTGCTATGTGGGTGCTGGGAACTGAACCGGGTCCTCTGCAAGAGCAGTTCTTAACCACTGAGCCATCTCTCCAGCACTTTAAGATTTTAATTTTTATTTATATTTATGTGTATGTGTGTGTTTATACCACATGGGTACAGTGCTCGAGGAGGTCAATTACAGATGGTTGTTAGCCACATGGGTGCTGGGAATTGAACCCTGGTCCTCTGCAAGAGTAGCCAGTGCTCTAACTGCTGAGCCATCTCTCTAGGCCCCAGCTTTGACAACTTTGAACTTACTGAGCTTTTTCCTCCCTTACAGCTCTGAAGGCTATCATCCCAATTTTTCGGGTCTCAATGAGAATGCTGCCTGCTTCATGGAAAATTCCAGTAATTCCTGCCTGGTTCTGCTACTAGGGCTCAGGACACCACCATCCTGTGTCTTCCCAATAACTTCCCTATCTTGGCCTGAATTCATTGGACAGGTTTCTTTGTGTTGTATAGACAAAAGGTCTTAAAGAGCCACATATTGTGAGGCTGGGGCTCCCGGATTAACTCTCACCTGAATGAGTGCATCCCGGGACCCAGTGACAATCAGATTGTTCTCAGGACCCAAAACTGCCGTCTCCACCACGTCCTTGTGCTCTAGATCTGTGGCCACGAACTGGTGGAAGGCCTGAGAGCCAGCCAAGAATATCCGCACAGATCTCCCAAACCCTGCAATGACAGGGCCTGGTTATAATTCTGGGCATGATGGAGCCTGACTGCAATGTATGCAACCAACAGGGAGCCTACTGTGCAATGGGGGAGGGACATGAGGAAGACAGAGGAGTGCGGCGACACCCTCACAGCAGACAGGTGTGTTTGTGTCTGTGGGGTGGGGGTTTGAGGTCCTGCATGTATGTGAGTGCACCCGTGTTGTGCAATGCCGCGGAGGTCAGAAGAGGGCATCGGATTCCCCTGGAACTGGCATTAAGGACGGTTCGTAGCTGCTGGGAATTGAACCTGGGTCCTCTTCAAGAGCAGTCAGTGCTCTTAACCACTGAGGCATCTCTCCAACCCCTGAGAGATTCTTTATTTTCAAAACACAACAAGAGCTGTGGTGTGCTGTGGTGGCACACGCCTTTAATCCCAGCACTTGGGAGGCAGAGGCAGGCGGATCTCTGTGAGTTCAAGGCCAGCCTGGTCTACATAGTGAGTTCCAGGACAGCTGGGGCTACAGGGGGACCCTATCTCAAAAAGACAAAAACAAAAATAAAAACAAAACAAAACACCAAGAGAAGGTAGAAGGCCTCAGAGGGCAGTGAGTGGGTAAGACAGGAAGGAAGTGGAATGGGGGAGGGAAGGAGAGAAAAAGGAAGGTGGGAAGGAGCTGGGGGTGATGTCCAGATGCAGAAGCTGGGTTATGGGGCTCCAGGTAAACCTGAAAAAGCAAGAAGAAAGCTGGGTGCGGTGACACAGGCCTGTCATCCCAGTACTTAGGAAGGTCAGGAGTTCAAGGCCAGCCTCGGCTACATGGTGAGTTTGAGTCCAGCCTGGCCTACAGAGCAAGACGCTGCATCAAAAAGAGAAAGCGGGCTGGAGAGATGGCTCCAGGGTTCTGCTCCCAGCACCCACGTGAAGGCTAACAACCATCTGTAACTCCAGTTCCAGGGGATCCAATGCCCTTTTCTGGCTACCATGGGCATTTCAGTCACGTAGTACATTTACATGCAAGGCAAAACACTCATATGCATAAAAAATAAATAAATAGGGGCTGGAGAGATGGCTCAGCACTTAAGAGCACTGACTGCTCTTGCAAAGGACCCGGGTTCCATTCCCAGCACCCACATGGTGGCTACAAACTGTCCTTAACTCCAGTTCCAGGGGAATCCAAAGCCCTCTTCTGACCTCCTCAGCACTGCATGGCATGGGTACATTCACATACATGCAGGCAATACACTCACTCATACACATAAAATAAAAATAAAAAATAAAATATTAAAAAAATAATAAAATAAAAATAAATAAATCTTTAAAAAATAGAGAGGAAGCAGGGGCTAGAGACATGGCTCAGTGGTTAAGAGCCCTTGTTCTTGCTGAAGACCTGAGTTCAGTCTCCAGCACCCACATGGTCAAGCAGCTCTGCACTCATGTGTGCAAAGCCACATACAGGCACATACACATAATTAGAATTTTAAAAAAGAAAATATACAAAAAAAAAACCCCACAAGTGGGACGAGACATGGAAGGATCTTCCGAGAAGTCTCTGGAACTCTCTGAGATTGTCTTAAGCTGCCTAGTTGGTGGGGCTGTTGATCATGCCAGCCCCAGGACATTTGTGCTGGGACTCAGAGGTGGCAGCCACTGAAAGAGAGGAGCATCATGGGAAATCCAGGATGTGGGAAGAACCTAGACATACTGGAGGGCAGGAAGGTGCCAGTGTGGGTGGAGAGCGTGATGGGAGAGAAACGATAGATTTGTTTATTTCTTTGGATGATTACATCAAACAAACAGAAAAAACTGAACTAAAGACAGAAACAAGATGCCCAGTTAAATTTGAGCTTCAGACAGAAAATAATTTTTCATTATTTCAACTATATCTCAAATTCCAGCATGGGATACAGTCCCCTAAAAACCTAGTTTGTACTTTATTTTTTAACATTAAGAATTTTTAATTAATTTTTGTTTTATAAGTATGACTAGTTAATGTCCGCATGAATGTAAATGCGCCCCTGCCATGTAATGCTGGAGAAGGCCAGAAGAGGGTGTTGGATCCCCTGGAACTGGAGTTACAGACAGTTGTTAGCTGCCATGTGGGTGCTGGGAACTGAACCTGGGTCCTCTGCAGAAGCAGCCAGTGCTCTTAACCACTGAGCCATCTCTCCAGCCCCTAGTTTCCTTATCTTTAAATTTTTTAAATATTTTATTTATTTTGTGTGTGCATATGTGTGTGTATGTATGTACGTATGTAGGCACACACATGTGGTCATAGGTCGGGAATCATTTCTCTCCTTCTACCATGTGGGTTCTGGAGATGAAACTCAGGTCATCAAGCTTGGTGCTGTGGACATGCATTCACATGTGCACAAGAACACAGAAGTCAATCAATATATGTAAACACTGCACCCAGCAGACCTGAGCTCCACAGCCTGTACTTTGGTGCTGTGGCCTTGGCCTCACTGTGGGACTGGCCCTTCTACACCCAGGAACATCCTTTCATATAGTGATGGCCCGTGTATCTGGGGTTCTGTGTTACATCAGAGTGACAAAGTGAGCCCCATGGGAGCTTTGGGACAGGCCCATCACCCCGACCTTTGAAGGGGTTGGAGGCTGAGGTCAGCCACATAGTTATTGATGCCACTGTGACTGACTCCTAGCCAAACTCACCCACCCCAGGTCTGCTAGAAGCCTCTGTGGTTGGTGACGTCTACCACATCATCTCACCGCACTGTTAGGGGCACTACCCTCTGTCTGACGCTAACAGGAGAGAACTGAGGTTCATGTCTCGTGCCTCCTGGACACTGCCCACAGAACTCTCTTTTTTTAAACATTTTTTTTAATTAAAAAAATTTTATTTTATGTGTATGCATGTATTGCCTGCATGTAGGTAAGTGCACCCGTGTTGTGCAATGCCCACGGAGGACAGAAGAGGCTGTCAGATCCCTGGAACTGGAGTTACAGACACTCGTTAGCTGCCATGTGGGTGCTGGGATTCGAACCTGGGTCTTCTGCAAGAACAGCCAATGTTCTTAACCGCTGAGCCATCTCTTCAGCCCTCCACAGAACTCTTTCTTTGCTGATTTCATGAGGGTTTTTGTATGTGCACCGCATGTATGCATGCATGTGGAAGCCACTGGTCAACCTCAGGGATCATTCCTCAGGGACAACCCACCTTTTTAATTTGTGTTTGCGTGTCTTTGTGTATAGTTACGCCTGTCCATATAGAGGCCAGAGGTCAACATCGTATGTCTTCCTCAGTCTTTCTCCATTCTGTGTTTTGAGACATGTTCTCTCATGACCCTGGAGCTTGCCATTTTGGCTAGATTGGCTGCCCAGTGTGCTGCTGGGATCTGCCTGTGTCCACCTCCCCCAGCACTGGGGTTACACATGTACTCAAGTCTATCCATTGACCCATCTCCCCAGACCTACCATATTTTTTGAGACAGTCTCCCTAGTCTGGGGCTCACTGATTTGACTAGGTTGGCTGGCCAGCAACCTGCCAGGATCTTCCTGTCTCTGCGTCTTAGTGCTGGAGTTAAAATTGAACTGCACAACTTGCTTTTCATGTAGGGTGTTGGGATTTGAACTCAGGCCCTCATGCTCTCCAGGCAAGCACTTTACTCGCTGAGCTGTCTCTCCAGCCTTCCTGTCCTGGTTTTTTTATTTTATTATTTTTTAAATATTTATTATTTTTATTTTATGTGTATGCATGTATTGCCTGCATGTAGGAAAGTGCATCTGTGTTGTGCAATGCCCACAGAGGACAGAAGAGGCTGTTGGATCCCCTGGAACTGGAGTTAGGGACAGTTGTTAGCTGCCGTGTGGGTGCTAGGATTTGAACCCGAGTCTTCTGCAAGAACAACCAGTGTTCTTAACTGCTGAGCCATCTCTCCAGCCCCCTCCCCTGAGTTTAATCTCTGTCCTTTCATGGCTATCAGCTGAAACTGTGGTATGTTTGCTGTCTCTGAACTCTGGGAGGTCTGTGATTCATGAAACTGATAGCAGACTTGGGGACCAAACACTGAAATTTTATTCATGACTCTTGAAAGATAACTCTTATTACCTAAGTCCAACCCACTATGTTAGTTTCCCCAAACTGTGAATGGAGAAACGTGCAGTGGCTGCTGGAGCACGCTGTACCTGAGACCCCACCGCAACATACTTCTAAGTCTTTGAGATCCTTGGCACCTCTGGCCTCAGTCTTGATTCTATCCTGGTCTCTAGCTTTGTTTAGCTCTCATCTTTCACTCCTTAATCGTGTGATGTGTTTTACACTTAACACCACTGACAGCTCTTTTGGAAACAGGCCAGAGTCTATAGCAATCAATATTGCCCTCAGTCAGTCTGGGATCGCTATGTAACCCTGATTGGCCTGCAACTCACAGAGATCCACCTACCTCTGCATTCTGAGTGTTGGGATAAAAGGTGTGTACCACCAAGCCTGGATTTTTCTCTTCTTTTAAAAATTTGATTAATTTTATTTTTATTTGATATACGAGTGTTTTGCCTGCTTGTATGCTGAGTGCACCCATGTGTGCAATGCCCACAGAAGCCAGAAGAGGGAGGCCTATTTCCTGGAACTGGAGTTACAGATGGTTGTTAGCTGCCATGTGGGTGCTAACTGAACCCTGGTCCACAGGATGAGCAGTCAATGCTCTTAACCACTGAGCCATCTTTTTTGGTCTTTTTGAGGAAGGGTGTCCCTGAAGCCCCAGCTGACCTAGAACGCACTATGTACACCAAGCTGGCCTTGATCTCCCAGAGCTCTGCCTGCCTCTGCCTCTCAGGTGCTGGGATTAAAGTCGTCCACCACCATGCCTGGCCCTGACTTATTTCTTCAGTGTAAAATATATATTAACCTTTGAAAATCTGTTATTACAAAAAGAATGAGAAACAGTCCTCAGAATACTTATATTGATTCCATAGTATTTTTGGCATATTGAATATAATAGACTATTTGACTAATGTGGATTTAATTATTTAAATTAAACATTAACTTTTATAACTATTACTATTAATTTAAATAATTAATAGTTAATTTAAAATGTTTCTTGAAGCTGGAGAGATGGCTAAGTGGTTAAGCGCAATCTCTGCTTTTGCAAAGAACCCAAGTTGGATTCCCAGCACCTACATGGTGGCTAAGAGCTGCCTGTAACTTTAGCTCCAGGGGATCTGACACCTTCTTCTGGCTTCCATGGGCACCTGGACTCATGTGCACACACATACACAGATACATACACATGCACATAATTACAAATAAAATCAATCTTAAAAAACATTTAAAAAGTCAAGAGGTAATTAAATGTGTGTGATGGAATATTATTCAACCATGGAAACAAATGAAGTACCATCTGTGACAGGGACAGAATTAATGAACATTATGTTCAATGAAATGAGGCTGGCGTGGAGCAGACACCACGTTCCCGCTCATGTAGAAGCTGAAAGTGTTGATTTAAGAGTAGAGAGAGGGCCAGTAAGGTGGCCCAGCGGGTAAAGGTGCTTGCTGCCAAGCCTGAGAACCTGATTCCATCCCCAGGACCCACATGTGGAAGGACTGACTGCTGCAGGCTGTCCTCTCTCCACATGCGCACCATGACGCCTGTGTGAGATATGCTCACATGAAATTAAAAAATGTCAAAACATTTTCTAAAGCAAAGAAATACAATAGGATTAGCATAATTTGGGAGGGAGAGAGGGAAGAGGGGAGGAAGTGGGAGATGGAGGGATTGGTTAGTTTCTACAGCACCCACTGGTGACAGTAGTTTCCAACCATTTATCATCTATTTTACAAAGAACTAGCAGCAATGAATTTAAAAATTTGAACCTGAAGCCGGGTGTAGTGACTCAAGCCTTTAGTCCCAGCACTGGGGAGGGAGAGGCAGGTGGATCTCTGTGAGTTCAAGGCCAGCCTGGTCTACATAGTGAGTTCCAGGACAGCTGGGGCTACAGGGAGACCCTGTCTCAAAAAAAAGCAAAAACAAAAACAAAACCATTAACAACAGAAAATCCAAAGACATTCCAACATGAAAGATGAATGTTTAAGGAGATGCTGATGCTGGCTAGACAGATGGTCAATGGGTAAAAATGCTTGCCGTAACCCAGCACTGAGGTGGTGGGGACAGGATGTCCCGCCTGACTTCAGCTTCAGTGAGAAGCCCTGTCTCAAAGGAGAAAGGTGGAGCGTTACAGCAGGATATCTGGCAGTTTCCCCCGTCCTGTGTGTGAGCACATGCTTCTGCATACGTGTGCACATGAACTACATTTATGGGCTAGAATATGATTGCACCACAAATATATACATCTGTTGTGTCTAGCCAATGCTTTTCTGTGCCTATGTGTTCATCTGCGTATGCTAGGCTGGCCTACAAGCTGCAGAGATGTACCTGTCCCCACCCTGCACCACCAGATCTGGCATTACAGGTGCGCATCGATACACCTGGCTCTTTGTGTGGGTTCTGGGGGATCCACAGGCAGGTCCACGTGCTTTCTCAGCAAACACGTTACCGTCTGGCATTTCTCTAATCCTAATTTTTTTTTAATTAGTTTGTGAAACATGTGTGGGCCTCGGCTCCTGGGAAGCCCTCCCTGACTACTCTGGAATATGGCCTGGAACAGGCCTTGAAGCCTCTACTTGTTTTGGGGTGCTTGGGATGGAATTCAGAATTTTGCTCATTCTGGGCAGCAGCTCTGCCACTGAGCTGTTGCTGAGTTTCTGTTTTGAAATGGTTAAAAGAAATAAAAAAGGGGGCTGGAGAGATGGCTCAGCGGTTAAGAGCACTGACTGCTCTTGCAGAGGACCCGGGTTCGATTCCCAGCACCCACATGGCAGCTATGAACTGTCGTTAAATCCAGTTCTGGGGGAATCTGATGCCCTCTTCTGACCTCTGTGGCATTGCACGACACGGGTGTACTCACATACATGGAGGCAATACATTCATACACATAAAATTAAAAATATAAATAAAACATAAAAAAAGAAACTAAAAAGTTTGGGATGTCATAACACAGGAATATTATTTGGAATTTAACTGTGTCAGTCAACTGACTGACATAAGGCCACACTCACTCCACATGCCGTCTGAGAATTCGGTACCCTGTCTACAGTCTTTTCAGACTTAAAATGCCAAAAAATATTATGTGCACCGTTTTGGAAATAGTTTGCCGCCTCCAACCAGGTTCTCCTTCATGTCCCTGAACTCCTCCATATTTCTGACCTAATTTTGTTCATTCAGGTTTTGTTGTTGTTGATGATTTGGGGTTTGGGTTTTTTTTTTTTTTTTTTTTTTTTTTTTTGCAGTGCTGGGATGGAACCCAGACCTTAAGCACTGGGTGCCTGGCCTCCAACCAGCTTTAATTTTCCTCCTTGATAGTCAGCAATGAAAGATAGATGCTACCTGCAGCAAGAAGGGACTCATCTTCTGAAACCACCAGGAATCCCAAGGCTTCTGGAAGCTTCTCCAGCAATCTGTCTCCTTTGGAGGAAACCTGTACAGTGAAATATGAGTGTTAGGTGTGCCTACAGCATTAGGCCTCAGAGCTGGGACCTGACCCAAAGCTCTGCCCCCACAGCTCCTCCCTTCCTTCATCCCTCCCTCCCTTCCCTCTTTAAAATATTTTAGAGTTTATCTTAAATTGTATGTATATATGTGTGTATGTATATATTTGTGTATGTGTTTGTGAACACGACTGCAACTTCTGTGGAGGCCAGAAGAGGGCATTGGATAGCCCAGAACTGGAGTTCCAGATGTAGTTAGGCACCAGTGTTCTTAACTGACAAACCCTCTCTCTAACCCTCCTCTTTTTTTCCTTCTTTTCTCTTTCCTTCCCTCCCTTCATCCTTCTCTCCTGTCCTCTTCCTTTTTTTTTTTTTTTAATCTTTTTGAGACAGGGTCTCCCTGTAGCCCCAGCTGGGCTGGAACTCACTACTAGACCAGGCTGGCTTCGAACTCACAGAGATCCGCCTGCCTCTGCCTCCTGAGTGCTGGGATTAAGAGCATGGGCCACCACTCCCAACTTCTCTTCATTTTTTTGAACCAAGGTCTCACTCTGTAGCTCCCACTGGTCTCAAACTCATGGGCCTTCTGCCTGTCCCTGGAATTACCTGTGTCCATCATGCCTAGCACCTGGGCAGATCCCTTAGTGACCACACTCCTCTGCCTCTCCCTCAGTCCAGTCCATTTTGGAACTTCTTTTTCCAGGGATACTGCCCCTGGTGTTTTGGTTCAGATATGGAGCATCCCCCAAAGGCTCATGTATTTGAACACTTGGTCCTCAGTTGGTGGTGCTGGTTGGGGGTGTGGAACCTTTGAGAGGTGGGCCTTGCTGGAGAAAGTGGAAATTCAAGGCCAGCTTGGACTATACATCAAGACCTTATTTCAAAAGTAAAAATAAATAAATAGAAGATGGGTCAGAGAAACGGCTCAATGGTTTCGAGGGACTACTGCTCTCCCAGAGGACCTGAGTTTGGTTCCCAGTACCCAGGTCAGGCAGCGCTCAACCACCACTCCAGCTCCAGGGGATCCAACACCATCTCTGGCCTGCATGGACACCGAAACACATGGCATACCCCCATACATACACGTAAATAAAAATAAATCTTAAAAAAATAAATAAGATGTGCTTGCGAGATGGCTTAAGGAGCGAAGGCCCTTGTTGCCAAGCCTGACGACCTGAGTTCAATCTCTAGGACCCACATGGTGGAAAGGGAGGGGGAGAACCGACTCCTGCAAGCTGTCCACATGTGCACCATAATACACACATGTTCCCGCTGCCGCCCCACATAAATGTAACTAAGAAAATAGGACTCACCCCCCTCCCCCAACGCGCCTCCCGGGCACAGGCTGGGCCGCCAGCTCGTGGCGGGCCGGGAGGCGCGTCTGCACCCCGCGGGCGCCCAGCCAGGAGGGCCTCCGAGGTCAGCCGCGGAGCACGTGGGGACGACGCGCGCACTGGGCCCCCCAGCAGAGGGATCCGCGCGCGGCGGTGCGTGATTGGCTGCGTGTGCGCTACCTCGTGCGTCCGCGCGCAGGTGCTGGGACTGGGAGCAGCGCGCCTGGGAGCGAGAAGCCGCTGTTCGCAGTACCTGTGGAACAGCGGCGGACGCCTGGAAGGGGGGTTGCAGACTGGAAGGGGGGTGGCAGACTGGAAACAGGAGGTTGCAGACTGGAAGGGGGGTGGCAGACTGGAAACAGGAGGTTGCAGACTGGAAGAGGGGTTGCAGACTGGAAGGGGGGTGGCAGACTGGAAGGGGGGGCATCCTGGGAGTGAGTCTGAGAGATAAGTTGTAAGTGCGGTGTACTAGACTGCCATCTGGACCACAGCAAGATCGACTTTGTTAACAGGGTAGACATTCCCTTCGTCATTCCCCAGAGGGTAGGTGATTCTTAGGACAGATCTGCTTAGCCAGCTCTATGAGAACTGGTTAACCCCAAGAAAGGTGTGTTTTGGGCGAGGTGATTTATTTATTTAATGTGTATTTGTTGACTTTTTGTGCATATCATACAATAAATCATTTTAAAAATAAATAAAATAGAATATTTTTTCGTCCCGGTGTCCGTGGTTACCACCCCACTCCCCCCCCACCCCCCGTCCCCCATCAAGAGTTTACAGCTTGGATGTCTATTGAAAACAAACTCCGTGTGTCTGTGTGTCTGCTGGTGATGTGGCTCAGGGATAGAGAACTTTCCCAGCATGCCCAAAGCTACGGGGTTCAGCTCCCTGTGCTGAAAGAAGTTCTGTTCCTGTTGCCCCTACAAGCTGCTGGCAAACCTGTCTCCCTCCATAGGATGAGGTTCTTGAGGCTAGACTTGGGGGTTGCTATAATGGGATGTGGTTTGCCCCCCCCCCAAAATTTGTGTGTTAGAAGCTTGGTCCTCAATATAAGGGTGTTGTGTAGCAAATTCCTGCCAACTGAAACATTCCATCCTGGAGGCAGGCCCCCTAAAACTCAGGAAGTACTCCGCTCACAATTCTTAGGAAGTCTGAAACAGACTCAGGAAATTCTAAAGGGAGGCCACAAGAAGGTGGCTGGACAGATGATGGGTCAGTTATTAGCGCTAGTTACTCTTGGAGAGGACGGGAGTTTGGCTTCCAGCACACATGTCAGGTAAGTCACAATTGCCTGTAATTTTAGCAGATCTGATGCTCTCTTCGGGCCTCTGGTCATCTGCACTCGTGTGCACACATACACATAATTAAAAATAAAATAGACCTAAAAAAAAAAAAAGACTCTGGGACTGCAGAGGTTGCGCAGTGGTTAAGAGCACTAGCTGCTCTTGCAGAAGACCTGGGTTCAGTTCCCAGTACCCAAATATTAGCTAACAATCATGTGTAACGCCAGTTCCAGGGGATCCGATGCCTTCTGACCTCTATGGGCATTGTACACACAGGTACACTTACATTTTATGTATACATAAAATAAAAATGAACAAATCCCAAAAAATAAGTTTTTAAAAAAGACTCAGGAAATGAACAACTCACAAGTCTTAGAAGTCCCTGAAATGTGCAAGATTCACAAGGCCTCCCAACCCCCAAAGTTACATGAGCAGTAGGAACCACCAGGGGCCTGTCTGACCTGTTGACTGCCTGTGAGTCACAGAGAGCTCAAGGTCTGAGCTCCACCCTAGGGGATGGATTAGTCTTTCCTCAGAGACCAGGAGGGTTCTCTGAAGACAAGACTCCAGTCTCACAGGGTTTAAAGAGTTACTAAAGAGTAGATTATAATCAGTTTCTCTCTCTCTCTCTCTCTCTCTCTCTCTCTCTCTCTCTCTCTCTCTCTCCTTCCTATTGCAGTTCTTCACCATATTGTGATCCAGCTCAAAGCCATCACCAGAAGCCAAGCGCCCACTCTCTGTGGTGCTGAGGATGGAACTCAGGGTCTCACCCACAGTAGTTAAGCGCTCTACCACTGAGTCGTGTTCCCAGTCCTGAGCCACACACCTAATTTCCCTTCTTCCAGAACCATAAGCCAAAACAGCCCTCTGTTCTGTTTTTTCTCTTTTTCCATTTGTGTTTGTGTGTATGTGCTTGCACGGGTATGGGTGGAGGCCTGAGGCTGATGGCAGGAATCATCCTCCAGTGCTCTTCCCGTCTCATTCTTTGAGTCAGGAATGCCAAGTCAAACCCAGAGCTCACTGATATGGGTAGTCTCACTAGCCAGCTTGCCCTGGGATCCTTTGTTTCTGCCTTCCAAGGTTGGAATTACGGGCCGTCACACCCACTCTGCATTTACATGGGTTTCTGGGGCTTGAACACCACTCCTCTTGCTTACATGGCAAGGATTAAGCACGGAGCCATCTTCCCACGGCCAACCCTCTGTTCTGTGTGTTTCTATGTGAACATGTGGAGCCCAGAGTTTATGTTGGGTTATCGTCCCCATTCATGCTCCACCTGCTCGCGCGTGTCTCTCAGTGCGCGTGTGTAGTCAGTTCTCTCCTTCCGTGTGGGTCCCAGCGCTCAAACTCAGGTTGTCAGGCTTGGTGACAAGCACCTTTACCTCCTGAGCCATGTGGCCAGCCCTCCACCTTCTGTTTTGAGGCAGGGTCTCTCACCGACCCTGGAGCTCATCCATTCATCCACGCTGGCTGGTCAGCAAGCCCCAGCCCAGGGACCCTCCTGTCGGCCGCCCCAGTGCTGCAGATCCAGGTGTGCTGCCATGCCTGGCTTCACTGTGGGGTACCACAGACTCAGGCCCTTGTACTCACACAGCTGTCACCTCACCCACTGAGCATATCCGCAGCACTGACCCTCTGTCCTATTATAAAGGCCCAAGCCTCTGGTATTTTATTTGCGCAATGCAGAATGGGCTAAGACAATGCTCTCCTATTTCTGCAGTCTCCAGTATCTATCGGAGTGCCTGGCATGTCCATTACAACTCCGAGTGTATAACTTCTTTTTGTTTGTTTAACACAGTCTCATGGAGCCCAGGCTGGCTCGTGATCGTCCTGACTCTGCTTTCTGAGTGCTGGGATTAAAGGTGTGTGCCGCCACAGCTGGCCCCAAACTCTTCCTACTACAAACACTCACGGCCATGTGCACCTGGACTCTTCCCACTCTGCACTCCCAGCATTCGTGGCCATGTTAGTGCTCATGGAAGCAGGGACCAGTGCCAAGAATGCAGTCTGTGTGAGTCTCTGCTCATGGGTTCCACAGCTTCAACCTAGGGAGGAAGGGCTGGCTTTCGCCCACAGTGTCAGGGATATAGTTTATCATGGTGGGGAAGGCATGGAGGCTGGGTCCACAGTAACAACTTCTTTACCTCTTGGTGTAGACAACTCGGGCCAGAACAGGAAGTCGGTGTCCCTCTCACGCCCACACCCAGTGACACACTTGTAGCTAGGTCCCACCTCCCAAAACAGTGCCACCACCTGGGGACCAAGTGTTCAAGCACAGGAGCCTGTGCGGGGACCTGTCACCTGTAAACCACAGGTGGGGGAGCAATGCCTGGTGCTGGCCCTGCAATAGGGACAACTCTGAGCTGTGCCCTACAGAGGTGTGTCCCCAGAAGGACAGAGCAGCAGCAACTGTTCAGAGAGCCCAGGCCCTGGGGAACAGGCAAGGACTGGCTCCTGACCTGTGCCCAACTACAGATCCCCAGAACAAAGAACCTAAAAGGGCTGGGAATGGTGGTGCAGCCTTTAGTGCCAGCACTCGGGAGGAGAGGCAGGCAGATCTCTGTAGGGTCGATAGCGAGCTCTGGGCTAGCCAGGGTGAAACCGCGTCAAAAAAAAAAAAAAAAAAAAAAAAAAAAAAAAAAAAAAAAAAAAAA